AAAAAAAAAAAAACTATTGCTAGATTATGACATTAAAAGAACATGTGGGGGGGCGGACGAAAAAAGCATTAGCCCTCTCAGAAGATAATAATTTCTTCCACCTTGGATTGGAGAAATATTCATCCATATAAAACTATCATATGACATTAATAGAATATGTTTAGCATTTTTAATTTTTTTTTACAAATACATTAACAATATCGCTTACATTTTAAATGAGATATATTGTTAGATGAATCTACAAATAAATAAAACTTTTACAAATCATTAAATTAATCCAAATCATCAAATTAGTAAATGAATAGATTGGGTCTTTCGCTACGCCACATGCTCGCACTATTTTTCAAGTAGGCGTTGAGAAAAATCTAATAACTTGGTTATAATCCCAATAATTAAATGAGTTAGCTTTATTTGAATCACATACGAGAAAAAGAAGGGGCAATGATAGCAAATATATATATATATTTTTAATTTGAGAGTTAAATTGAAAAAAAATATTAATAAAAAAATAATTAAAAGAATAAGAACAAAAACAAAAATACATTATAAACTTGGATTCAATGGTGAAATTAAAAATAACAAAACTTTCATAAAAGAGTTAAAAAACAAAATCCAAAAATAAAAAAATAAAAATCAAATTAAAAATATTAATATATGATAAAAAGAAATATGAACCAGTGGAGTTTTTTAATATGTTTTTTTATATAAAAAATTTTAAAATATAAATCAAGAAATAGCCTGCATGCTGGCTTGCAAAGGCAAGCCTACATGAGGGGACTTTTAATTTTTTTTATTCTCTATAATTTTATTTTATTTTAAATAGATGATATATAAGTAAATTCAGGCCGCTGTAATGATTAGTAAAACAAGTTTCCTGTTTTTTCCGTTTAAAAACTCATTTTCAATTTATTTTTTTTACTCAAAGCACCTCAAAACTTGAGCTGTTGTTGCTGGAAATGTGTTGAGTTGTTGTTGCTACTGCATCCAGGCTGCTGCGTTTGATTTCTACTCCGAGCTACTGCCCAAGGTTTGCTGGACTATTGTTGTGTTGCAGGAGGCTGAGAAGCTGCTTATTGTTGTTGTTTGTGCGAAAGGAAGGCTGTTACTGCTGTTTTTCTACTATTGCAGCTGTTGAGACCTTTTTTTTTGCTGCTACGAGAGGTTGTCGTTGTGTTTGGATGTTGTTGAAAACATTGCTAAGGGATCGAGCAAGAATGTTGCATTTTTCTCTTCTAATCAACTCATCAACATGAGCTCTAAATTACTAGTTTAACAAGGATTCTAAACACAAATCTTTTCTAATTAACAAGGATTCCAACTTAGATTAGTATCTAACTAATATTTAATAGTTATGTGGAAATCGAAGTAGTATATTTGAAAGGCATGCAACTTGATTACCGGAAATTACCCTTATATACCTTATAATGATTGATTTCACACACTAGTCTGATGATCGTTTGCTATATAACATTGGTTTGTAAGAAAAATTAAGATTGATGATCAACTGTGAGAATATACATTAAACATTAATTCTTGCGGAACATGACGAGATTTTCATATTTTACTCAATACTGATCATCTACATTAATCCCAGACTGATAAATACCATAAAAAAAAAATGCTTGAAAAAGAAACATATAAGATATATAAAAAGATTACTACAAAACAGTTCAATAAACAAAATAAGCGAAACCAGTCATTTGCCTCTCCATGCTCCCTGCGGTTTCTTTCTTTCTTTCAATTTCAAGGGAGAGGCCCATACTTACATCATGCATGAATGTAATGATGCACAGCAACGCTTTCCCTTCCTTTTAAATCTTCACCTACCTACCTTTTTCAAGATTTGAATATGAGACATCGATCGAGGACAGAAGGTGAACAGCGTATCTCACAACAACCCCTCCTTGTCAAAATCCATAGATGACTTACAAGAAGGCGGGAGGGAGTACCTGGATGAGAATCCCCTTCCCAAAAGATCATCATCTTCATAAAGTTTTGCACCCTCGTCGAAGTTAAGGGCATAACTCGAAGGATCATATTGGAAATTTCCATGTTGAGGATTGCCACCCCCTGGCTTCTTATTGAACCTCCGCAGGAATGTTTTCCATTTAGGGCCTGCAACTAGTTCTGACCAATTCCGGATTTTCATCCATCCCTGAAACCACCATGATTCTCGGTTCGCTGTGCAGTCTGTAGGCTTGATTCTTTGCCAAAATTCTGATCCAATGATACAACTGGAATATGACGGTCGATCTGTGGTTAAGAATGGTATCCAACAGCACCCTCTTCTGGCAAAAGCGAGGTCATGGATATCATCGTTATTACCATAAGAAGAAGGGGAAACATCTGGGGCCTGAGAGGACATTTGATCAGGGCTACCAAATGGGTTTGCAGACCACAAGAGAGAATCAGGAAATAATAAATTAGCAAGTCTCTCCTCTGCAAACCCTAGATAGCTCTTAAATTGTTTTTGGGCGGTGACAGCTCTCACTAATAAGAGAGCAATTGTTGGGTTTGTTGTTATTTTTCTTTTTTGGGATGGTCTCCTTGCATCTGGAGGTCATGACAGCGAAGAGTGCGGAGTTTAGAAGGGTAGAGAGTATAAATTGGGCAATTAGCATGTAATAAATACTGAAATGATACATAAGCAAGAATTTGCGGTGAAATAGCATATTTCCTTACGAAAAATTGTGTTTGGAATTTTAGTTGGGATTCATTTTTAAAATATTTTTTATTTAAAAATATATTAAAATAATATTTTTTATTATTTTTTAAAAATTATTTTTGATAATAATATATTAGAATGATCTAAAAATATTAATTTAAAATAAAAAAAAATTAAAATATTTTTAAAATATAAAAATAAACAAGGAATGTTATTCAATAGTTATAGTAGCGTTTTATATTTGAAAGTACATATAAATTTTTTTAAAATTTTTTAATTAAAATTTAGTTTTTAATTTATAAATTAAATAAAGATATATATTTTTATTTATAAAATATATTTTTTAAAAAAATTATACAATTATAATTTTTATGTAAAATAATCAACTGGTTATATAATTATATCTAACTGGATAGTAATTGTAACACTTTAAAAGTGTGATATTTTTAAATATTAGAATTATGGGACACAATAATTATTTTATCATACTTAAAAATAATAATATTTATTAAATATTGTATTTTAAGAGCTTGACAAGAAGAAAATTTATTATTTTATTAAATTTTTTAAAATAATAATATTTAACTAAAATTTTTAATTTACTGTGCTAGTTCTCCTTTTGGAACATAATAATGGATGCTTCGGTGCAAACCAAAAACAATGCCCGTGTACGAGCATTATGACATTTTCCCTTGACCATCAAAGGATTCTATTTATGTATATCATCCTAAATAGTTTTTTTTTTATTAATTTCATTTTCTTAGCCAAGAAATATTTTCTTCCTTTTCCTTTTCTTTTCTTTTCTTTTTTGGGTTCAAGAAATACCCTTGCTAGACTAAAATCCCCCATGAAACTCCTTTTGGATGATGATGCGTGTACTTGGTAAGTTAAAAAAATGTTTGAAAAAAGATCCCTGTAAATAATTTTTTCAAATTAAACCTTATATTTATTGTATTTATACAATCAATCCAATTATTCTCTTTCGTTACTCTAAATCCATTTGTTATGTAATTAAAACTTTATGGGGGGGGTTGATATATCTTTTTTTTCAAAAAATCATTTTTTAAAATTTAATATATATATATATATGTTTTTTTAATTTGATTTTTTTCTTTAATATTAAGGTTATTAAAATTAAATTTAATATTTTTTAATTTAATTTTATAATATTATCTCATACTCGTAATTTGGATCCAAGTTTAATCAATTAAATCAATTAACTCAATTTATTTATTTAATTATAATTTATTTAATTTATCTTTTAATATTATTATGATAATTAAAAAATAATTTCCATGATTTATTTTTTTAATGAGGATATTATAAATTATTTCTTTTTCTATCAATTTATTTTCAATTAATTTCAAGGAAGAATTAAAAACACACCTCTTCGTGCAAAATACTCTATATGGACGTAAATGTAAAAACATGAAAACGGCACTAGAGAATAAAAGAAATAATATTGAGTCATTGGCAAGGACAAGTTAGTACTGGGGAGGTAAATGAAGGCGATTTCTATTTACTCCCTAACCTTTTATTTGTTTCGATTAGGTCCTCAATAAATACATGGATTCTAAATCAAGCACTTCCATTTACTCTAATTAACATAACAATTAAACAATCACTTGAAACTCACATAATTCCATCTATTATATGATCTTTATGTGAACTTCACATGATTCAAAGTAAAGAAATCTAATAGTTTTCAATAAAAATAAAAGAAGATCACAGGCAGTTGAAGCCAATGCCTTTAAAGTAATGTTTTTAATTGGTATTTGAAAGTATGGAAAGAGTAGTTATTTTTTAAAGTATTTTTGGTTTGAAAATATATTAAAAAAAATATTTTTTAAAATATTATTATTGATATTAGCAAATCAAAACGAATTGAAAACATAAAAAAAAATTGAAGTAATTAAAAAAATTAAATTTTTTAAAATGCAAATATGCCATTAAATATACATAAATTATGGCATTATCACCCTAAAATTAATTTTCCCTCTTATTATGAAGTGACAGTCTAATATTTATCCAAGATATGGATTGAACTGTCAGTCCTATCTCTAATAATTCTTGTTGATTTATTATTTTTACGGAAGTTCTTGTCGAAACCCTAAAAGGTGCGTTTTTTCTAAATTAAAACCGTTGCAAATCCTGCTCCTCTCAAATTCAATACAATTAATTGGTCCAAATGGGCTAGAGTCCGGCCCATTTTTATATTGGATTTGGGATGTAAAGAGGTCCCCGTGACTTCAAAGCATTTAGCTGGGGCATAACGTGGATTAATTGGAACTTTTTTTTTTTTAGTGAATATTTGGAATTATAGTAGTTCTTGTGGTTATTGTTTAAAATAATAGACTTAAAAAAAATTATAATTTTTTTAATTATAATTTTAAATATTTTTTAGGATATACAATACAAAACTATAATCTGTATTTGTTAAAAAAATACATTTAAATATATAATTGGAGCAAAATGTGCCGCACTCCACAAACATCTGCTTAAAATTCGAATTGAACACATAGCAAATCACAACATAAAACTACAAGTGGTGTGATCATAAAGAAGAAGAACATGGGACAATTAGGTGATGATTAGTCATGGGAAATTTTAAAAGGTAATTTTTATTTGATTATATGATAAATAAAATAGATATTTGTAAGAGTTTGAAACACTTAATTTCTAACATAAAATGTATTTTTTAAATTGAAGTTCTCATTCTTTACACTTTTTCTTTATTTTGTTGAAAACTATTTTTTTTATTATTATTATCAACATCATTTTTTTATATGAATCTAGTGTAATTAAAATAATTATTCTCAAGAATCTTAATAATTTAAATCAAGGAGTGAAAATTCTATTTCAGAAAGCAAAACTCCTGTATTTTTAATCACAGACTTATTTTTCAAATAAAAAATTATCATATTCTAAAAAGAAATTTTAAAAAACATAATGCCTTTATAATTTTTAAGTGGTTATGTAAAAATTAAAAGAATAATTAATTCATGAAACATATATAAAAATAACAATAAAAGACTATATAGTTCTCATTAAATATTCACTCGCAACTTGTTCATCATTTACTATATTCTAGGGTATTATAAAACTATATTTAGAAGCAGATAATATACTTAATAAACATTAAATAGATTGAATAAAAATAACAGAAATTAGGGGAATAAAAAAGAGAGATAACATTTTTATTTCATATAATTTTGTAAATATATTCAATATCATCTCAATAATGTTTTTATTT